ACCTCCTGTCAGCTGCTGTTCAGGCTGAACTTCAGCTGACAGGAGGTTCAGGTTTGTGGAGACGCTGCTGCAGAAAACTAAACAACCAAAGTGCGCAGAGAGACGTTCTGAGGTCTGACACACGTCACTAATGTTGTTAGAAATAAAAGGTTTATTAAGAATGAAAAATGTTTGGTTGGGTTCAGCTGACAGTTTGGGTCCAACGTCTGCCGTGAAGCCAACAGGCAGAACTTCTGATGTTATGACACCATGTGCTTCAACACCAGTGTAAAAACTAGCATAAAGGCTAATGTTAGCCTAGCTTCAGCTAACTCTGTGGTAAAAAGTGAGTTTATTCCAGAGGCTGCAGCTCTCTGAGTGAATTAAAACTTTCTGCAGTAAGGAACAAAGTGTCAGGGAGTCATGTAGCTGCACGATCCGTCCTGTCAGCTCAGGAGCTGAAACACTTCTGGAATGTGCTCGATTTAGAAAAAAACCTGAAAATATTTAGTCTATACTTGACTATAAAGCTGTGTTACATTATATTCAGAAAACAGTTTTAATATTGTACACATTTTGATCAATAAAATAATGATTTACAATGCATTTATATTTATTTATAATAACTTGCTAATTATTTTCTAGACAGTCCTATTATAACTCATCTTTGTTTTATTTTGTTCCTGGAATAAAAACCCACAGCTGTTACAAACGTTGTGTTTTCTGTGAAACACTGCAGCTGATGAAAGACTGAATCAAACTAATTCTGTCATCAGTTTAGTGAAATGCTTCATGCTACAAACATTGTTTCTGGTACAGATCAGGCAGCCACAGGTCAAARAAAAACTTTTCCATAATATTTAATGAAACCAGTCTAAATACTGGGTGAGTTTGAAGCTGGAATTCACTTCCTGTTTTATGAAACATGAGCTCTGAGCTTTACAGCTGTGTTCCTGTGAAATTTAAAGTTTGATAAATCAAACCTGTTCAGGATAAATTTCACAACAAACCTTAAAAAGGCAGAAATGTTGTTTGTAGTTAAGATCTGACAGTAAACAAGTGTTTATGTTGTGATTTAGAGCTGTCCTGGTGTAACGGTTCAGCTGCAGCTGAAACATGAGTTCACATTCATCTGAACATTTACCGTCCTCAGGAAACTGTTTCAGCTCTTTACAAACACATGAACACAACTACAGCCTGAAGATCCAGAGTTACAGCTGTCTGCTGTTAGACCAGTCTGACCACAGTCTGACTACAGTCTGACTACAGTCTGACCACAGTCTGACCACAGTCTGACTACAGTCTGACCACAGTCTGACTACAGTCTGACTACAGTCTGACTACAATCTGACTACAGTCTGACTACAGTCTGACTACAGTCTGACCACAGTCTGACCACAGTCTGACTACAGTCTGACCACAGTCTGACCACAGTCTGACCACAGTCTGACTACAGTCTGAACACAGTCTGAACACAGCCTGAACACAGCCTGAACACAGCCTGAACACAGCCTGAACACAGCCTGAACACAGCCTGAACACAGCCTGAACACAGCCTGAACACAGCCTGAACAC